TGTATCCCCAACTCCATCGTTAGCTTCACTAGGGCAGACAGAGACTATGCCTGAATAAATGTGGAAAAATTTCAAATCTTTTGAAGTCGTGACGGGGAAAAAATCCAGAAGTTTGGAGAAAATGGAAATATATCCAACACATACTTTTGCACTCTTCTTCAGTGTGTCAGAAAAATGTAGTCACATCTTTGTCCAGGCTCCAGATTAACACAAATCAATGTGATAAGATGTAGTAGAAATAGCGGGATAGGTAGAAAAGTGGCATTTTAGTTTGGTTTTAGTTTAGTTTCGTCGTGTATCAGCTGAATGAGCCTGGGCAGATAACTTCTCTGGATATACATTTTCCTCAGGTTGGATTTGGGTTTAGTGATAATAAATATACCTTTCCCATCTATTTTATGAGATGATCATGGTGGAGATCAAATGTGAAATGGAGTAAAGTTTTCTTTCTAAGTGTTTTTTTGTTCAGGAAATAACCTTCAATAACATTTCTAATGAAAATACTTCTAAGTGGTCTAAATTTTGTTACTAACAAACTTCAAGGTGTTAAGCCACTATTTAAAAAATCAGGCAATTCTGAATTGTTGCCAGGTTGTGAAGAGGAGGGAAAGGCTTTGGGATCAGAGAGACTAGTGTCACCTAATGTGATCCTGGGTGAGTAACCTAGCATGACCTGTAGGGTGAGTCAGGCGGCAGATAGAACTCTGACCCTCCCACTTACACATACCATCATCTCAACCACTCTGACCGTCAGTCTCCTTATCAGTGAAATATGAATAATAATAATATTTACTGAATGCTTTCTGTGGGCCGTGTACTATTTCAGGCATGTTGCATATAATAAGTCATTTAATCCTCACAACCACCCTATGAAAGAGGGACTATTAGTATCTCCGTTTTATGGGTGAGGAAAATGAAGCACAAAGAAGTTAAATCATTTGCCTAAGGCTGCCCAGCTAGTGAGTGGTAGAGCCCAGGATGAATCCCAAGCTATGTGATTCTAGAGTCTGTGCTCCCGTCCATGCTAGATGGCTCCCTCCCTGGTGGTTACTGGGAGGATTAAATGAAATAATGCACATAAAGCGTTCAGGATGTGGCCTGGGATACAGCTGTTGTTAGAAAGAATTATTGCCTTTTTTAAGGTATAAGTGTGGCAACCATTTATAGGTCTATAGTCTAGTTCCTGTCACAAACAAGTACTCTAGAAGCTAGTTCCTTCTCCACTGATATTATGGGAAAACAGAGAACATGTTACAGAGGACAAGGAGACACAGAAAATACTCATTTATGCATGTTATTTTATCTAGATGAGAGGTGGGCACAGGGAATTCCTCAGAATCTGTTGAATACACCTTTGCTACAGGCAAACCTCATGTCTCTACTCTCATTAACTATTTTTCTGATGCTTCTTTTTTTATTGTCTTCTAAAAGAAAAATAAAAGTTTTCCTAAGACTAATGTCACAGAAATTGGAATTGGCATGAAATGTTGCCAGGACTTGAGTTTTCAAAGGCTCTGACTTTTGCCTTAGCTCCCTGGGATAGGATCCGACTCCTGCAAAACCCAGGGGCTGGTGGAATGTCCTCCTATCACTGAAATCGTCCTGGGTCTCCGCCCTGGGTTGGACATCGGGTTCATCCCACACATACATCTGCCTACACACATGCTCTCCTAATCTATTCCCACATCATTCATACAATTACTTCTTCACAGCCACGCCCACCCACCTACCCCAGACATACCTGTTCTCCCAGACCCTCTCCACACAACATACAATGTACATTTCCCATTTACTTTCCCTAAACTCACTTACTCTTTCATTCATCTGATGGCACATAGGTGATGAGTCTTATGTGCCAGGCACAGTCCTAGGTACTCGGGCATCATTTGGCCACAAAAACTCACATATGCATTTGTTTCCCCACACAGTCTTTACATGCAAGTGTTTGCACACTCTTTATACATATAACCACATGTTACCCCCATATATTCAGAGGGTACATACACATACCCCTTGAGACACTCTCCATTCAGCCCCTCACATCACCTGCCTGTTTAGAATGGTCTTTGATTTTGCTTCTTCCATTTTGTGTTTCTGTTTCCCTATCATCTTAATGGCAGACTTAACCTAAAGGTGGTTAAGGAGGCTTGTGAAATAGCCTAATTTTGATCACGCCAGCAGGTTCTGGTATGTTATATTTTTCTTCAAAACAGACCTCACCTTCCTACCCTTTTCCAGAGAAAAGCTCTATATTTTTCCCAGTCGTGGGGAAATGCTGGTTGCAGTCATGGATGGGAGAGGTGACCTGGGGCAGAGGTGGGTGGGCAGCAGCAGCCTTAGTTAGGTCGGCTTGCTTGGTTGCTCAGACTGTGGACTGCGGACCCCTCATTAAGAGGAGAGCAAAGGAGAGGGAAGAAATGAACTGCTTTGCCCTTCTCATCCAACCCCAAGATCAGCCCCTCCCGACTTACGAAAACCCAGAGCTGGTGGCCATGCCGCTGAATCCGGCGTCTTCTCTGGCATCAGTGGTGGTCTAACTTTCCACCAACAACCCAGGCCCACTTCTTTTCCTTTTTGGAAACATTCTCAAGCATAGAGTGGGAGCTGATATCCTCAGGACGACCCCAGAAGTAAAGCTTCAAAATAAAGGAACTCCACTCTGAAGGGCATAGGTTCAAGGAGACAAGGACAGATTGAGGTTTCTTTAAAGACAAGTACAGGCAGGAGGTTGGTGTGACAGCCTGAGCCGCCTCTGTGAGAAATTTGGGATAGATTTTGATAAGTCCTATTAATGGATTACTGCCACAAATGCCAGGGAGAATGACAAATTCAGGTGCTGAAGAGAGTGTTTCTTCAAGTTATAATTATACAACAGTAGGCTGGCTGAGGGAGCAGGTCATCTTTGACACTGGGAGATTAGGAGGAAGCTTGGAAAGAAGATGGGGGTGAAGGAGAGCAAGGGTGAGCAATTTACAAATTTTTGATCTATCCCCAAGAAACTTAAAAATTAGGATATGGGGGTGAGAGGAGACAGGAGGAATGAATAGGTGGATCACTCTGTATGACACTTTACATTATACGTTTGTTCAAACCCATAAAACGTATATCAAGAGAGAACCCTAATGCAAACTATGGACTTTGAGTGACTATGACATTGTCAATGAAAGTTCATAAATTGTAACAATTGTGCCACTCTGTGGGGGTGTTGAAAGTGGGAGAAGCTGTGCATATGTTGAGGCAGCGGGTGTATGGGAAATCTCTGCCTTCCTCTCAATTTTGCCGTGAACCCAAAACTCCTCTAAAAACAGTCTTCATAAAAATCAGTACACTTTACTAAATAAAGGAAATAAAGAGATTAAACTGGTTAGAGACCATCAGAAAGTACAAGGTGTTAAAGAGAGATTGGAACTTTATTGAGACTTCCTCCCTGATGAAATCAGAATGGAAAGAACACTGGAAAAGTTCCGCTTTGGAGAGAAACAGCAACTTTTCAGGCACGAGTACTCCTCTTGGGGGAATCTCTGGATCCTAAATTTCCCCCAGCTCCCAACCCACACCCCCATCCCCCCAAAAGTCAGAATTCTGCTTGAAATCCACTTCCACAGAGCGAGTCACAAAACAGCTCTTACAGCCCGAGCCAATTGACAGATAAGCCTACAAGCAGTTAGAGAAAAGGTAAGTCAAGGAGTGATCAGAGGAACGGGAATAGGAAAACAAAAATGGATGCAGAAAGAAAAGGGGAATAAAAAAGATCACACTGATGATGTCACCCCCTGAAAATATAAATACTATATGAATGTATTAGCCTCGATTCACCTGCTTCCACCAAAGCAATGGTGACATCAGCAGCTATGACAATGCCCATACAGTTCTGCACATTGTATTTCCTCTACTGTACTAAGAAACATAGATATGTCAAGAGGAGCTCGAGGGCAATAAGGGGCATTAAGGAGCAAGATGGGAGGGCAGACTCTTCAAGAGGGTAAATGATGGAGACATGAGGCAAGGGTTAGTTTTCGACTAGAAGAAAAGCAGTTCATCAGGCCCTGGTCACCAGGCTCCTTGGATGCCCCTAGCAGACCCCTTTTCTTCTCTGGTTGGTTCTGTCCTTAGAAACAATGTTCTGGAAGCTCTGGGGCCTCTGGCTTTCTTTTGGGAGGTTCTCCATCCTCCACAAAGCCAAAAGAAGCAGCCTCTGTTGCAGTGCTAATAATTCTAAGAAGCAGGAATTCCAAAGTTGCAGTTCTCTGCGTGGACCTAATCTGATCACCAATTTGCTTCCAGTGCCTAATCCTGAGTGCCTCTCCCTCTGCCTCCATCTTCGCTTTCCTCTGGTCCGGAACGACTTCCTGGTGCTGGCAGGTCCTGACCCATACCTCCTGGTTGAAACTCCCAAGAGAGGCTGGCTCATAGGCAGGAGCCCATCTGCGCAGCCCTGGGCCAGGTCTCCTGGATTTGCACAGACTCACCCACGTTTCATCAAATGGCTTCTTCCCTCCAGGGCCTACCCCAATGTCCTTTGTCCCCCGCTGCCCTCCGTGGTGGCACACCAGCCAGGCAGGACTCTTACAAGTTCTTTTGCTATGCCCTCCGGCATCTGTTATCTCCCTAATCTCTCTTGGACAACATAATACACACATATTCACACTGATCAGTATTCGGAGGTCCTGGCTTTCCTGCTGCACATCCGGTGGGTATCAGCATCCAGTTCAGGTAGGAAACTGAAGGTTAAGCCTTGGTTGCCACCGACACCAAGTGGCTGGTGCTGGTTCTGACTCTTGGGAAATTACTCGTGAGTTTTGAGTGTTGGCACATCAGGGAATGGAGAAGAAGGGAAAGAAAAAGCCATGGTGACAAAAACCGAGAAGATACGACTCTTCCGCTGAGTGTCTCCACAGAAATGATGCGGAAACAGTCTCCTCCTAAATCCGGGAGAGGCGGGCTGCCAGAGAAGTCCCTGGTGAAAAGGAGCAAAGTCTCCATTTGTCCCCTCTGAAATCCAATGCCTTTGGGGTCCGAGTTTTCCAAGACATGCAACAGACAAAGACACACTGCAAACCAATTAACCCTCTGAGCCCTTCTGGTACTTTCACTGAAATCATTTCCAGTGAATTACTCGACTACATGGAACACTCACCTTCTTCTTGGGGCCAATAAAGGGACCGAGCTTCCCAGATGGCTTAGAAGACCACATCAGAGAAATGGCACTGGAGGAGCAGATCCTTCTCCTAGCCTGGGAACTCTTGTTCTCTCTTAGTGTTCTGGTATCCTAAACCATTCCCCTCACTCCTTAAGGAAACAGGGAAGAAGGCCAGGGGGTAGGCTCAAAACCCAGGTTGATTCAGACCCAGGAGACTGTCCCCTATTGGAGTCAACCCAAGCTCAGGAGACAGCTGCTGGACGGGGGGAAAACAGAAGACGGTGTGTGGGAGGCAGCCACAATGGACCTGGGCAGCCCGACAGAACTCGTCTTCTCTGTTTTCCCAGTTTATAGGGGAAAAAAGGACTTCAGCTGCTTTTAGCTTATTTAATGCTTATTAATTCAGTATACACTAGAATTTAGCTGCTCTCTGTCCCTCCGAGATAGGACCCAGGAAAAGCAGGTGTGGCCTGACTTGCCTCAATCAGGCCCCCTAATTGAAGCAATGAGACAAGCACACTATAATTCACAGTTTCCACTCTCCTCCCTTGACCCACACCTTCCCCCACCGCTGGTCTCAATTAACTCCCAAATCTCCAATGCATAATAATTCTTGCCAGTGTGGCTCAAAGGGTTAATAAACCGGGACTTCTCAGACAGTTAGGACACAAGCTCATTCACCAACAAGAACCCAAGAATGGCCACACAACAACCTAGTGTTTCTTATAGCGATTCTTTGGGGTTTCGCCACACCCTGTTTTGTCACAGTTGAGAGCACCTGGATTCTTTCCAAGCCCCAGGCTTCCCAGGAGGCCGGGGAGCTCGTGGGTGATGGCCCGCTCAATCTTCTCCAGAAAGCAGCCCCCCATATAGGAGCACTGCTGGGACAGGAGCTTGAAGCTGGAAATGGGATTGATCCCAAAGAAGTCCTTATAGGCCTCGCGGTTGGGAAGGTCAAATTTGCTGACATTGGTCTTTGCCAGGATGGTCTTGAAGATGTAGAACTTATCAGGATCTTCCACAATGTCCTTAAAGACCAGCTCTCCGTCACTGAAGAAGGTCATTTTGTCCTTGTATGTCTGCAAATAGCGGTCGACCAAGAGGGCATGGATGCGGACCCGGATGGCATGCTGGCGGATGAAGGCGATCTTGTTCTCCAATCTGTTCTCGATCACCTGGTTCAGGTCTTCCAGGAGGGAGATTTCTTCCTTGAGAAACAGTTCTCGGTGGGTATCGGGCTTGTAGTCTTGAGGCCAGAAGGAGCTGACATAGACCCTTGGGGGCTCAGTAACGTTGATGAGCGGGGCCAAGCTCCAGAAGAGAGCCCCATAGACCCGCATGAGCATCTGTGTGGCCAGGTTGTCAGCCTTGTTCAGGATGATCCTTATCTGGGATTCACGCCCCTTCAGCTGGCGGAACAGCATCTCCAGCTCCAGACCCACATCCAGCTTGGTTGGGTCAAAGACGACAAAGATGAGGTCTGCTCTGTCAATGAACCACTGGCACACGTCGTTGAAGGGGTAACCTTGGGGAGAGGGAGTGAGAAGTCAGGGTGAGCAGGCCTGAGCCCAAGCCCCTCTGCCTCCTTCCAAAACCAAATCATTCCACAGGTAGAAGGAAGTGACAGCACTGAGGATTTTCTGGGCTTCTCGAGACTTTTAAAGAATTAATTGCATATCTCCTGTCCGTTGTCAACCTTTGACCAACAACAGCCTGATCTTTGCTTTAATCTACAGTGGAATCTAAAGCTCTGGGGAAGCAAAATATTTTTTCTAAATGGATCTAGAAAGATCTGAGATAGTGGCAAAGATGTTGATGGAAAGAAGTCAGGGAATTAGAAGGACATAAAAGAGAAGTTCATCATTTAGGGGAAAGCAATGCAGACCTAGCATAAGACCCAGGCGAGGATTGGGGCTTTGTTACTGGCCAGTTAAACATTAAATGATTCAAAACTTTAGGATTTCAGCTACAAAATGATGAGTAGAAGAACGACATCTAAGTTGATACAAAGATTACTATGTTGCTACAAATACAGGAAAGCACCTAACTAAAATTCCCAGTCACATAGTAGTTGCTCAGTGTATTTTCATTCCTTTAATTTCTTATTTCCAAAATGAGGAGACTAGGAATATCTGTCTTGGGAATTTTTTTACAACAGTCAACCAATAATACATACAATTATCTGATGCATAATAAGAGTGCAATACAGGTTAATTGGCTATTATAATTATTAGTGATTATATTACTACTAGTCATAAAACAGGGTTATAACCAAAATGGGAGTGACAGCCACAAGCTGAAATCTACCATCTGTTCATATATTCCTACAAATACTCTGTTTTGACTCATCTCTGCAGATATCCCTGAGTCATGACAATACTCAGTGCCCTATATCCTAGCCTAGTGTCTGCCATGCCCAAAGTGGCACTACTCTGCCATCTGAAGGCAAGCAGGGCTTTTGAAACAGGCTTATATTGAAGCAGGCCTGGTAAAGCAGAAAGAATTGAAGCTCAGGTTCAACCCAGCCCCAAGTTAGCCAGAAGTTAAGTACAGCTGGACTGGGATGCAATTAGCCTAGGCCGTTGATCAGCCAAGACAACCTGGGCCTCCCAAAGACAGCTCAGGCCCAGCATGAACCTCAAAGAGCTACTTACAGAGAAGAACAGCTTCCTCTTGGGAAAATGATCACCTCTAAATCAGATCAGTTCTTGGGGAGGTAAAAGAACAAGGTCCTCTACACCTAAGTGGCACCACAGTGACAAAAAGAAGGGTCCAGAAGGGGAGAACACATACCCTGGCCTTAGACAATGCTCTCCACATTTCCTCTCCCCTGCCTGTCTACCCCCCACTGTAGAAAACAGTTTTCTAAGACAAAGCTCACACTGTTCCGAAATGAGTGCTAAATTACCTCTTTCCTGCTGTTTGCGGTTCTCAATGATGCCTGGTGTATCCACAAAAGTGACCCGCTCCAGAAGTTTGTGGGGAACCTCGATACCAATCAGCTTCTCCAGGAAATTCTGGCCAAACTTCTCGAGGGGCGAGAAGGACCGGGCGCTGTCAGCGGCCATGACAATACCCTCGATGGTTTTCAGTTTGGGCCCATGCATGAGGACAGTGAACTCGGAGGTGGTGGGCTCAGCACCTACACACACGGACACAAGGGTAGTAGGAACACAGTCACCTCTGAGGGAAGGGACCTACTGCAAAGCAGGTGAGCAAGGTGTTTCAGGGCGGGTTCGCCACGAGAATCAGATACTATGTTTGCTACACCAGTGGTTTCTTTTTTTTTAATTGTGATAAAATACACATAATATAAAATTTACCATTTTAACCATTTTTAAGTGTACGGTTCAGTAGCATTAAGTACATTCACCTTCGCCCATGACCACCATCCATCTCCAGAATGTTTTCATCATCCCAAACTGAACACTGTGCCCATTAAACAGTAACTTCCCATTCTTACTCTTCCCAACCACCATTCTACTTTCTAACTCTATGAATTTGTTGACTCTAGGAATCTTATACAAGTGGAATCATACAATATTTGTCCTTTCGTGACTGGTTTATTTTACTTAGTATCATGTCCCCGAAGTTCATCCATGTTGTCGCATGTATCAGAACTTTATTGCTTGTTAAGGCTGAATAATATTTCACAGTGTGGACAGACCACATTTTTTTTAGCTATTCATCCATCGGTGGATGTTTGGGTTTTGTCTACCTCTTGGCTGTTGTGAATAATGCTTCTATCAACATGAATGTAGCTGCTGGTTTCTCGTGCGTGATTTTCATTATAGTGTTGGAGACATATATAAATGCTTTGGTTTTTCATAATGCTTCTATATATGACATACATTGAAATACCAAGAATCACACAAGAAGATCTCACTCTTACCTGTATAGAGCTGGTAGCGAGTGTTTTCCAACCCGAGGAGGTAGTTTATCATGGTGGATTTGCCGACGCTCCACGGTCCCAGGAACAGCACCATTGGCTTGGAGGTGATTTCTCCATCTGTGGGCAGCGGGCGTTAGAGATAGAAGTGAACTAACAAAGTTTCTCACTATGGGAGGGACACAGTTCTTCACGCTGCATCGCAGACCGTCCATCTAAGTAAGTTGTGGAATTCTAGCTTGGACCAGACAGCACGTGACAATCAGTGGCATATCTCTCGCTACGCAAATGCAATTGCCCAGTTAAAAGACGCCAGAAGACATCATTTGGGCCTTGCACAGATCTTTTGCACACCAGCACCAGAAGGAAACCTAAGTAAAAGACGCCAGAAGACATCATTTGGGCCTTGCACCAGAAGGAGACCTAAATGAGGTCAACAAACTCTGATGCAGGTCTCACTCTGGGTGAGGCCTCCTGGTTTAGATCTAGGAGAGAATGGTTCATAAAAGGGGAGCAGAACTGCCACATGAGGAGTGGTAAAAACTCTTCTATCTGAATTGGTAACAGAAAAAAAGGGTATGAAAGAGGCTTATACAACCTTGGACAGCCTGGACTTGGGTGCTGCCTGTTACCAGCCTCCCTCCCTTTAGCTGTGCCTCTTGAAATCCCACTGGAGGCTCAACCCAATCCTGGGCTCTGGGGCCAACCTAAAATATTAGCCTCCAAAGTCCATAACATATTTGCTAGGTCCCAAGATTAAGCACTGACCAGGCAACTTTTGGGTTCTTGGTCCCTGTGTCCAGTATTGGGGAGAACACCTGCCTGGGTCACTAAGAAGAAAAAGCAGAGTTTTCAAGGGCTTTCAAAACCAGGGGGCAGGAAGGGGAGGGGAAGGGGGAGAGGCTTGCAGCATGGGACCGGCCACTCTTGGTGCTGGGTTTCAGGTCCCAGCTCTTTCGACCCCTTCTCTGAACCACAAAGGGTCAGCCCTGCATAATTTAGTGCCTAAAGTCCTCTAGATCTCTCAGTCTTCCTGAGCTTGGCAGACAGGCCTCAAAACAGTAAGCACTTCACTTATTTTTTTTTTCATTTATTTTTTTCCATTTTATTTATTTCTTAGTTCAAAAATCAAAGTAAAGAAAGGTCCAAAGTGAAAAGTCTAGCATCCCTGTCCCCAATCTGCCTAAGTCATAACAGTCCTTACATATTCTTTCAGATATTTCCATGCATATATAAGCAATATTCCCTATCTTGTTTATAGAAGGAGGAGTACAGTATTCCTCTTTTTCTGCACCTGCTTCTTGATGCGCTGGTTTTCTTTCTCTAAGGTGAAACCAAGTCTTAGAAGACCAAGATGGTGTCTCATAAGTGACAGGCACATATATATTTCCTGAAAGCAATACCATAGCCCTGCCCCATGAGTCGCTGGTGTCTTTGTGGGTGTCAATCCCTAGCTCGGGGACAGGAAGGGATAGGCAGGCTGAGAGGGTGGCAGGAGTCCTCAGTGACAGCCATGAAGATCCTACAAAAAGTCTCCCTTACCCTAGCCCAGGGGACGCCAAGAGGAGCTGGACCTTCAGCCACAGCTGAGACAAACCACCACCAGGGCTTTCCCAGGCTGCTGTTTCAGCCCTCTGCAGCAGGGGGCGTTACTGGCACATGGAGGAGGCTGCAGGTAAGTCACTGAGCAGCAGGGGTTACTGAGGAGGCTGCCCAAGGGCACAGCGGAGTCCCAGCACTGTCGGGAAACTAAGAGAGAGGAGCCAAGCCTGATAAGTGAGGTCAGGAGTCAGGAACGCCCTCCCTGCAGAGCACCATTCTCTCTGGGCAGTTCGAAGCCTCCAGGGCCAAGCCACTAGGTCTGAGGGCTGCAGAGAAGGCAAGAGTAGAGGACCAGAAAGCATCTGGGAGACTGCGACCTCACACCAACACCTGCACTTCCTCTGTGAGGCCAAAAAGGATCGTTTGCTCTTAGGCTTGCAAGAAACAGTAGAGATACTTGTGAAACAGCATTCTCTGGAGGTGAGAGTTACAGCCGCTAGTTCCAGCTGTATGATCCCAGATAGCCTAGCATTTCTCTGGTCCTTCTTCTGGAAAGCAGGAATAAGGAAAGTATACCCTATAATACCCCAACCACTGTACAGTCATCGAGAGCATCACATGAGATAATGTAGAAGTAGCCAGTTAACACAGAAAACTGTGTGATACTTGACCATTCAAACAAGTATATACCATTGTTAACGTTTTCAAAGATGAATAACATTTTAAAAAGGCATTGCTGTAGGGGAACAAGGGCTCTCATATCCTGTCATTGTGAGTATAAATTGGTACAAGCTAAGGCAATTTGGTAACCACTATCAAAATATTTAATTCCAGTGTTCCCCTTTTTAAAAATGTACTCTACGAATGTACTTGCATGAAATATGTAACGATTATAGTAGTATTTATAACGTTTTTTTAAAAACTGGATGGTCAACACCTTGTTTTCCATGATAGGGCGGTGGTTACCCAGTACGGTGCATCCATGCAAGGATTAGAAAGGGCAAGGGGAGGTACACACACACACACACACGCACACACACACGCACAGAGTTGTATGATATGATCCCATCTTTGTAAAACAAACAGAAAAAGACACACTTGCATATGCTCATGTATGCAGAGGAAATGTATTCATGAGAAACTTTAACAGTGGGAACCTCAGGGAGTGAAATTAGAGAAATTGGAAATCAAGAAAGGGATTTTTACCTTCGATGTATACTATTTTGCATTATTTGAATTTTTTTTTTTTGGCAGCAAGTATACTTCACTTTTATTATTTTGAAAATCAATTTTTAAAAGAATCCAAGCCCAAGGGAAGCTGACCAGGAGGAATGAACAAGAGGGGAAAGGATCCAAGCCAATCGGAGGACTTTAAACATGATTCTGTAAATGAACAGGAAGCCTGTGGGCCCTTGAGCACGCAAGGGATCGAAGTTCACTTCATTACCCTTGGAAACCAAAACTGTACTACTGACATGACTACTTACAAATGAAATGCTCTCTGGAAACCCCTGTGCAAAGTATGGGTCACTATTACAATGAAAGGGTGGTTCACATGACTGAGGGCTCCGCCCCGCCCCAAGAACTAAGGATTGCTCAGCTCCACGTGTCCTTGAGCCCAGTGTGTAAGGAGCTCAGGGGCCGCGTAGTAAGCACAAGGGACTGTGGATGGGTTGGAGGTGGAAAGTGGAGGCCCTACCTCGGGACATGAACTGTACCTGTGATCTCATGCTGCCGAAGCTCGTTGTATTTGTAAGACTGTTCCAGGGGTTTGATGGACGAATGGTAGATCTTTCGAAGCCGCTGCAGCACCACTGGGGGCAGAGAAGGAGGAAGAGGGGGCATCAGGTAGGGTGAGCTCCAGACAGCTGACCACTGTGGACCAGGCCACTTTCCAGGGCAGCTCCAGCCCCGCCTAGTGGGAAGCAGGGGCCCTCTGCAGCCCAGTGACTGTGCTGTATTCAAGGAAGGAACTAGTCCATATCCCAGCCCTCAGAAATCTTTAAACCAGAGGCATTCCCTCCCCATCCCCCAAAGCCTCCTGGCTTATTTCTTTTTAATCTAAGGCTCCCCTCTATCCCCTCCTCAGCAGTGTATTAAGCGTGGCTTCAGCCTGCAGCTGAGGCAGATGAGAACCCCATCTCCTCCTCTCTGCCCTCTACCTCTACTTGCGCTTGCCTTAGGCTCAGAGGGCAAGGAAGGCTAGCACTGAGCAGGCACTCAGGAAGGCCACCCTGGCCTCTGGCCACACTCCCTCTGCACTATGTCCTGGGAGTATATAGACATCTCAAGTATCTTCTTGAGAAAAGCATGGCTCCAGGGAGAAGCTACTCCTGGGGGTGAGGCTGGGAGCTCACCGGGTATTAGGCACAAAACGGGGAAGAAGGCCTGAGGGTCAGGCTTTCCTGAGCCCGCCCCTCACGTGTGCCTCCTCTCTAGCTGTGTGCCACAGCAAAGCACTGCCTTGCTCTGAGCTTTCGCTAACTCTGCAACTTAGAAGAGACAATAAGCCCTGCTGAAAGTGTTGGGTTATAACGAGGAGGAAATAAAATATCGGGCATGAAGGGGCTTTAAAAACTATAAAAATCAAAGCAAATGTGATGAACTCTATTAACGCCCCCTCCCAGGCCACAGCGTGGAGGCTGTCACTGTCCCCAGATGCAGCACTGAGATTTGCCTTATACCCTTTCGCTGGTCCCTCTGCTTGGATTGCCTTTCTTCCTCCCTATCAATCTAGAGCCACCCCCGGCCTTGGACCCTGATCACAGAGCCTCCTCCGAGAAGCCCCCCATCTACAGGACTCTCCTCCCTGGGGTGCCTGCCAGCCTCAGAGTCCCTGCCCCTGAGGCCTTCCCAGCCCAAACCCCAGCCCCAGGCCTGGCTCCTTCTTCCTCTTGTTACCAGAGTAATCATCAGCTGGTTTGTCCTCATCCAGCATCAGAGTTTTCTCGATGTGGGAGCGATCCCTCAATGGGGCTTCTTCACTCACATCCTCCGCCTCTTCTGGGGAGAGAAGCAGACAGCAGGGTTAGGGTAAAGTTAAAAGCCAGCCTGGCTCTAAGCCCCCTCAACATGGGCAAGGGTGGGGCCTTGAGGTGTTGTTGACCAAGGGCTTGCCAAGTTCAGTTGAACAGAGTTCTGTCTCTAAGAGGGACTTTGAAAATCCAAACTCAAATTCTCTAAAGCTCTGCAATCTGTTTTATGTATTCAACAAATACTGACTGAGCACCTGTGATGCGCCAAGCACCGAGCTTTGTGCTGGGAATACAGTGCCCAAAATAGACACAGCTCCTGCCCTGTGGCATTTTCCTACAATCTAGTGAGTGGGGGGAGATCATCTTAAAAGCAAATAATGACAAATGATGATGTGGCTATGAAAGGGAAGATTCCAGAAGCTACGAGGGCCTAAGAAGTGTGCCTAGGTAGTCTTAGCAGGGGTTCCGAAAACTTCTCTGAGGGGCTGCCTGTGACCTGAGATCCACTGTGTGAGGACTTATTTATGTGAAGATGGGGACAGGAGCAGTTCAGCAAAAAGCAGGAAGGGTGGCTAGGCCTCAGTGTGTGAGGGGTTCATGCTGGGGGCAGGAGAATTCTGCAGGGGCTGACCATGCATGGTCTTAGAGCGGTGGTCTCCAACATTTTTGGCATCAGGGACCGATGCTCCTATGAGAATCTAATTAATGCCTGGTGATCTGAGGTGGAGCTGAGGCAGTGATGCTAGCACTGGGGAGTGGCTGCAAATATAAATGAAGCTTCGCTCGCTCCCCCACCGTTCACCTCAAGCCGTGTGGCCAAGTTCCTATCAGGCCATGGACCAGTACCGGTCTGCAGCCTGGGGGATGGAGACTCCTGTCTTAGAGGACCATAGGAGTCTGCATTTCATCCTAAGAGCACCAGGAACCAGGAAGAGGTTCTAAGCAAACATCTGACCTGATCAAATGAGCATTTGATCAGATTTACAAGGCTTCCGTGGAGCTCAAGCTGGAGGAGCGCTGTGGAATGGGGAAAGGGGTTAACTGTTGCTTCTGACCATCAGGAGATGCTTGTGACCGATGTAAAGCGAAGCACAGGGAAGATGGTCAATAATATGGTAATAACTATGTATAGTGCCAGGTGGGTACTAAACTAGTCAGGGGAATCACTTTGCAAAATAAATATATGTCTAACCACTATGCTGTACTCCTGAAACTAATATAAAATAATAGTGAATGTCAACTGTAATTGAAAAATCAAAAAGGGGGGGAAAGGTGAAAGGGAATAAGAGGTTTAAATTTCCACATATAAAACAAATAAGTCATGGGAATGTGGTGCACAGCATAGGGAATATAGTCAATACTATTGTAATAGTGTTGAACAGTGTCAGAGGTTGCTGGACTTATCATGGTGATCACTTCTTTAGGTATATAAATGTTGAATAACTATGGTGTACACCTGAAACTAAAACAATATTGTGCGTTAGTTATATTTTAATAAAAATCTTAAAAAAAAAAAAAGATGCCCATGACCACCTGCAGGTTGCTGAGGTGGCTATTTCTACCTAGGCTGGTTGCACAAAGGATTTTAGGTGATTAGATGTGAGATGGACTTGGGCCTGTGGGGCAGAAGGAGACTAGTTCTACCAGAGATGGAAGCAGAGAACTGATGTGCCTTGTGGAACATCTCAGGACTCAGGCAGCCCTGACCGCAGACCCAGGACAGAGAGAAAAAGGAGGGGGAGGGGCTGGCTGCAGACCCGCCCCCTATGGAGGGTACAAGTAGCTGGCAAGCGGTATGGAAACTGAATTCTTCAGGGAAACCCATGGGGAAGCCATTTTGGAGGGTAAAGACTGATCCCAGTTCCTCTGTCTATCTTAAAAGCCCAGCTCTTGGTCCAGGCCAGCATCCTCAGTGGATGCCGCCATGGGTGTCCTGGCCATGCCTACAATGTGATACATCGCCAACATTGTCCATTGGCTTTGGCCCTGCCCTCTCCCTTCCTTGTCCCTCAGTCCCAAGAGGGTGACTGCTGCTGCTCCGAGTGAACGTCTGCGGGATATCACTGTCACAGCCAGCCTGAGATTTCTTATCAGGATCCTGACCCCAGTCCCACTTCACCCCACCTGACATGGCCTAGTCTTCAAGGGGAGGCCCCAGGTGCTAACCCTACTGTGATTCCCCACAGGGGGCTCCCAATCCACTCCCCCGCCCATATATCTCTTCACCAGCCTGCACAGGGCCTCAAACCCTGCCGCCATGTCCCTTGTCCTCCAGGTTAAGGCACTGGTCCATGTTAAAGTACTTCAGGGACCCCAAGGGGCAGGCCTCCTGAGGGCCTAACTCAAAAGTAACCGGGGTCCTCTGGGCCTCTCATCAAGGTCCATGGTGCAGCCTCTCACTGGGTCCCTCCAAACTGGGAAGAAGTGGCTCAAGGGAAGCCCAAAGGCACCCCCTGGGCTGGGTACCCTGGACAGGGTCTCCATCCCACAAACCCAGGCTGGCTGGGGCTTTCCCGCCCCACCCTGTCCCTGCCTGTCCCACTACATACAAGACTTCCAGGAAGAGTGCAGCTGCCCAAGTGCCGGAGCAATTCTGGGGTCCCCTACCCTGAGGCCCCTCCTTGGGCTCCTCTGCCTCAGCCTCTGAGGCCTCGTCCCCCTTGGACCCTGGATTTGGTTCCTCCGAGCTCAGCTGGGCCCCCTCGTCCCCATTGCTTGGGGTTCCTGCTGCTTCCTGGGCTTGCCCCGCTTCCTGGGCTTCCCCTGCTTCCTCGGAGGCGCCCCCTGCTTCCTCTGAACTAGCCCCGTCGTCGCCGCTGTCCTCCTCGGATTCTTCTTGGGATGAAACTCCTTCCTCGCCTCCGCTGTGGCTGCTACCCTCTTCCTCAGAGGAGGCCACCTCTGAGTCCTCCTTGGACACCCCTGGGACCTGGCCCTCTGGGGGGTGGTACTCCTGGGTGTCCCCTGTCTCCGTGTCTGGGCTGGGGCTGGGCTTCCCCTGGTCCTCAGGCCCCTCCCTGGCTTCTGTGTCCACCTCCATGACTCCATCTGGCCCTTCTGGTCCCCGATCGGGCCCTGGGCTGCCCTCGCCTGCTGTCTCGGGCATGTGGGCCTCCTCGACCTCCAAGGTAGGAGAGGCCCCTGTGCCTTCAGGCTCTGCAGCCCCAGCTGCTGCCCCCTGCACGGGGTTGTCCCCTAGGACCTCCTTGGCTTCCTCAGGGATCAGGTGGCTCCCAGCCTGTCCTTCGGCCTCCTCTGCTGGGCCCTCTCCCGCACTGAGCTCAGGTCTCCCCTCTTCCCCGGTTCCTTCCTCCCCTTCTGGAAGGTGGGTGCTCGCTCCTGGTGGCCCCGCAGAGTCCCCGGGGGGAGCTGACTCTGAGGCTGAGGCATTGGAGAGGCTGGCTTCAGGGTCAGAGCCTGGGCCGGGGGCGATGGGGGCCCCAGCAGCAGTCTTCTCTGAGCTCTCAGCCTCCCTGCCATCTGGGGAGTGAAGGAGCAGGTTCTTCTCTCGAGGGGCCGCCTCTGCATAAAGCGCCCTTTCCTTCTCCTCTAGACTTGCATCTCCAGCAGAGAAATGATTCTCCAACAAATTGCCAACATCTTCTGTGCCACCCGAAGCGGAAACTTGCAGTTCTAAATGGTTAGAACACGATTGGTCAGTTTCACAGGGTTGGCACTCGCTTTGCTTCTCAAAAGAGTAACTCAACCTAGCTCTCATCCACCAAGAGTGAGGTGTGAACCTGGCATCAGTGGCACCTCCCTCCCTGGTTTTCATAACTGCCCTGTGCAGCAAGCAGTGAGGATGTTTCTCCATCCTCTTCCCAAGACTCGGAGGCCATGGCTAGAGGTGATTACAGAACCACTCACTGTCTGTCACTGCAGGATTGAGCAACTGCCCCACTCCCAAGAAGCCTGCCCCTGACCCTGAGTGAGCCTCTCACTGGGTCCTGATGACTGCGTAGGGACGGAAACGGGTGAGCCCTTCCAGTCCTTCCTCAACCTTGCCCCAGGCAGGGAGGCACGTGCAGCCTGGCTCACCAAGAGATCTTTCCAAGATAGGAGAGATGCCTTGTCAGTTCCTAGAGTCATTAACCAACATGCTTTTTATACTGCTATCAGCAAAGGCGTGCAAACAGGTGTGTGCAGGCCAGATAATCTTAGGTTACAGGGCAGAGTACTTAGGGGATTACTTGTGGCTCTCGGCCTTATTAAGTCACACATCCAACTCTGTCCCCTTAAGGGCAGGCATTTGCTGGCCTTGCTACCTTAGATTAGAGGCGACATGGCCTAAGGAGAAGATATCCAAAACGGGAAGGGCCAGGGCTTCCCAGTGGCCTTAGCCAACCTCTCCTGAGGGGATCCCCTTCTGAAGGCTGGTCATTTTAACAGGAAGCTGAGGACACAGGGAGAACAAGGCAGGAGAGAGCATGATAGGGGCCTAGCCAGTGCCGAGACCTCTATCAAGACAAGTGTCATTTATTTGGAAAATGGAATCAAAAGAAAGGGTTATGCCTATCCCTTCTGCCCCCTCCCAGTCAGACTGGGACCTGTTTAAGGAGGAGGCCCTCAGTAGGGGAACACTGCTGGGTCTCAGGGATGAGGGACCACAGGGCCCTGCCTTGGGGCAGCTGAGACAAGCAAAAGAGTCCTTGTGAGTCAAGGCTCCCTTGACTCACAAGGACCCTTTCTGAGGAAGCAGCCTTCCACCTCTCTGCTGGGTACAGACACCCCTCTCTCTCAGGCTATATAGCCTAATAGTCCCATCTCTGCCTCAACAAAGAAAAGCCACCTCTTGGGGTACCCCTTCTGCCTCAGGGTACCCATACACCTTGAACCCTAAAAGCTGGGGCAGTCTCCAAGGACCAAGAACAAATATTTTCTCATTAGTCCCCACAAATACAACCTGCTATCAAATTCAGAAGAATGGAAAGTTTGGGTGCCTTGTATTATAAAGAAGCCCTGCATGTTGATATAACACCTCCCCGAGCACTTTCCCACATGTGACAGCGACCAAACCTCCTTCATTACTGTCATCCACATTTCAGAGCTGAAGGTCAAGAGAGAGCCTTTGACTTGCCCAAGACACAAGGTGACTGGAACCCAGAACTGTCCACTTCTTGTCAAGGCCTTACACGCCACGATGTATGTAGGAGAGCACAGTGGCACCTTTTCCCACAGGTACCTCGCCCCTCCCTGCATGCACCTTCTCTCCAGGCTCACGTCTGGATTGTAGGAACCAAGGGTGAACTCTCCCTATGTTCCCAGGGCTGGGACCCTCCCTGCCTGACCCATGGAAAGTGCTAGAAAGAGGTCCATGGTAAAATTTGGGTACAATAAGAATTCCTGGTCTCTTAGTGGGGGAGCCGGAGGTTACTCATTAAAATTTTTTTTCATTACCACCTATATGTCCTTTGCCTGCATCTCCATCCTCCCCATCACCACCCTCTGGAGAAAAATCTATGGCAGGAACTTGGTTTAAACCAAGGAGACTAAAAAGTCCTCTGAGCAGCAAGTTATATATCATTTGAGATACATTTGTATAATTAACTATTCAGTGTGCCAGGCAGTGCTTAAGCACTTTATATATAAAACAATTTACTTGATCTTACTCAACTTACTGAACCATACTTGCTTATGTAAAACAAGTCTTACACTTATCCCTGTTTTACAGATGAGAGGACTGGAATCAGAGCCACTGAATGCCTTGCCCATCACAGAGCTGGCAACTGGCTGAGTCCATTTCACTCCAGAGTTGCAAAGGAGGTCTCTTGACCCTAGAGGGGTCCTACACCTGTACTACTCAGAGTGTGGTCTGGGCACCCACAGCATTGGCACCACCCAGGAACCTGGTAGAGATGCAGACCCTCGGGCCCCAACCTAGACCCACTGAACCAGAATCTGCATTTTAACAATTTGTTTTCACATTACAGTTTGAGAAGTGCTGGTCTATACCACCTGATAAAACTGGCTCTAAACCAGTGGTTCTCAGAATATTGGAACCACCAGGCTCTGGGTTGCACTCCTCCACCCTCGTCAAAGGCTCTGGTTGAATTAGGGTATATCCCCAACATCGGTACTTTAACAAAAAAATTCTTAGGTAATTCTAATGTGCAACCAAACCTGAAAAGTGCTGTTAAGCCAATAATCCTGACTCTGAGGCTTCTGCTCTCAGCCTCTCCCCACTTGTGTGCCTACTTGGGGCTCCTAAGTTGGATGTTTCATCCAGGGCTTGACATGTGACCTTTGAATAGCAGTGGTCAAGGCTTCTTCTCTGGGGAGCACTTTCCTCAGGCCCCTGTTGCCCTCTACTGATGATGATGATGATGATGATGATGATGATGATGATGGTGGTGGTGGTGGTAATGATGGTGGTGATGACTGTGATGGTGGTGATGACTGTGATGGTGGTGATGGGGATGGTGGTGGTGGTGGTGATGACGGTGGTGATGACTGTGATGGTGGTAATGACAACTGGTGGTGATGACTGTGATGGTGGTGATGACTGTGATGATGGTGGTGGTGGCGGTCATGATGGTGCTAATGATGATGGTGATGGTGAGATGGTTATGATGACAACTAAGTCTGACCACCTATGGCATTTCTAATATTCTTAAAACAACCTCTGATCCTGATGGAAGTGAGAGGGCTGCACAGCACCAAGGGAAATGAGGACCCCAGACTTTGGGGGTTTACCATGACCTTTACAATGTTGTGTATTTCCACTCCTAGACAGGAAATCAAGTGTGTGCATGTGTGTATCATATTTGCATCTTTACTCTTCTCTATTTTTTACGACTTAGAACCAAGCTGCTAAGAAATATGGAGTGAAAAAGACGGAGGGTGATGGCTTAATGCCCTGTGACCTTCCTTCCCAGGCTAAAAATAACTTTTCTGACACAGTCTCTCAATGAAACGAGCTGTGCCATTGGGCCCCAGAGCTCAATCCCCAGGAAGCAGCTATGCCATTGGGCCTGATCTCTCCTCTGGAAGGCACAGTCAGAGGCTCTGAGAGCCTCTGATTAAACTCAATTCAATTATGTGAAATCAAACTCAGTGTCTTCCCTCCATCCCTGACCTCCCTAGCATCTCGTTGAAGCCCCTCATTGGCCCCTGGAGGAGAAGTGGAGGAGGGCGAGAAGACCCAGGACACCCTAGACAGGTTGAGAACCCGGTAAGATGAGTCTTGGCCTACCCCAGGACATGCAGTACTATACTGTATTTGCTGCTGCCAAGGCCACTGCCCCAGCCTCACACAAGCTTGGGCACTTACATCAGGGCACAAGAATAGCAAGCCCCTAGCTCAAGCCCAAGACCATGGGAAGGCCCATGTACCTGACAGGCTGGTGCCCTGAGCAGAACATAGCATACACCAGTTCTGCTTTCTCTCCTGACACCCCCTCTACCATCAGTCTTTCTTTGAGGGTCAGCCCTCAGCTGCTCCCCCTACCCACAGCCTCAGCTATAGTCCAGGCTTGGTCCCTCTTTTCTCTCTCCACCACCAACCAAACACTTGTCTATTTCCCCAGCTTCTAACTTGTTCCAAAGAACTTTTCACATGGACTCAGAGAACTGTGTAGTTTCCAAGGGCCATGGTAGGTCCAACTGCAGAGGAAAAAGCTCTGACCAGAGTTGTGACAGAGCCCGAGTTCATGCCTCTCAGTCTAGGGTTCTTTCTGCTCCCAAGTAGTTTGCAAATCATGTCTCATGAAGGGCCAGGGGTCCATGGAAGTGTCTAGTGGGTGAGGGAAGATGAACAAACTGGGATTCAGCCAACTCTTTTGTACTTTCTGTCCAGCAGCCCTCCTTGGGTCTCACTGCTTAAAGAGCGGGGTAGGTGGTTGACAACCACTGCTCCTGCTTCCCCTGCCTCTTCCCTAAAAATTCCTCTATCCTTCTCTTGATCATTTTCTGCAAAATCCCAAGGAGCGCCCCCTTACAGCATCTTTTCACTTTGCTGATCTACATGTGCCAGGGACTGAGATAGATGATATTTTGTCTCGACGCAGAACTTCATGCTTTCTAAAGTTGTCTCATGTTCTTCTTTCATCCTCCTAGCAGCCCTCAGAGGCAGGGAAAGCAAGAATTATTAACCTCTCTTGAAATAAGGAAGCGGACAAAGAAAAGTCAAGTTGTTTGCTCAACAAGCCATTCCAGGGAGGGGCTAGAACTCAGGCCAAGAAACAAAACAAAGCTCCCTGGCCCACGTGGGGGTGGCATCTGAGACCTGAGAGCTTTCCAAGCACAGATGCCCGGTCTCCAGGGGTGAGTAACTATGAATCTGGTATTTTACAAGATGACTCTAATGAACACTAACATTCAAGAACCAAGCTCTGAGTCTCCCTCAGTACCAAGTATCAGGGAGTCTCTCTTGAGATTGAGGAAAGAGGGGTCCATTCAGAATAGAGTTTTGTTGATCTGTGTTGAGCCTACCTTACGGTACTAAATTTATTCTGCTTTGGTGGAATATAATGTAAACTCAATTCCAACCTGTCTAAGTCTCCTTAGCACACAGTTCTGAGGATCTGCCAAGATTATTCCTCCACATGACTTCTCATCTGTTTGACTGAAACTACTGAGTCCAAAGTCACACAGAGGTAAAATACCTTTGACTGTTACACACAATTATGCAAATG